TTGCTCTCCCAGTTGGTCAATCCAAAAACCCTGGAGTGATCCTTGACTCTGTCTTTCTTTCTCGGCCTACACCCAGTTCGTTAGCAAATCCTGTTGGCTCTACTTTCCAAATGTGTTCAAAATCCAGCTACCCTTCTCATGAGCTCTGCTGCTACCACCAAGCCACTGTCTTATTTCACATGAATTCTTGGAATGACCTCCTCACTGGTCTCCGTCTATGGTTTTTCCCCTATGGATTCTCGTCTCCACACAGCAGCCAATGACTCTCTTCAAATGGGAGATCATGTTACTGCTCTGTTCAAACTCTACCATGGATTCCCATTTCACTCAGGATAAAGGCTCAAGTTTTGCTTCTAAGGCCCTAGAAGTAAATGTATACCAATGGCTCTAGTGTTGCCTGCTATTTCGTATGGTCTGGGTGTAGAAATAAATTTGGGTGAGAAGGCAAACACCGTACAATTATAAATTCAGACCAGTAATAATTAGTACAATCCTCCTGGAATCCACAGCTTGTCCTCACAAGTTTGAACCTGTCCACTGAAAATATTTGTCATTTTCGTTAATGGAGATTATCTCTGCTCTATCTGTAGGGAAAAGGGAGTGCTGGGCAGCTAGAAATGTAAACAGGAAAGAGCTTTTGCTTTCCCTTTGGGCTAAAAAGTCAACTTGTTATTTATTTTCTGTAAAGTAATTATAAATCCACTTCATATGATAAGTGTGTGGTCAAAACCAATTGTACCAAATGCAAATAATTTTTGGCCATGTGGAGTTTTAAATTTGTCTATGCTTTTTATGTTCAAGATGCCCTTCCTTATTTCTGTTGAGAACTTTACTCTATCTTAAGACAGGAAACTTCATGAAACATCCTTTTCTCTTTGAAGTTAACCAAAGTTTTCTTCTCAGCTTGGGGAACTAGAAGACGTTTTCACCGTAGCTAGTTGGCAACCTCACCATTGATGACTCAGTTGGAAGTATATGAAAAGTAGAGCAGTAAGGGAAATACGATCTCAAAGTCTACGCACTTTGCTCCTGCTCAGTGCAGACACACCCTCAGCTCTGAGCCTGTGGAGAAGGGGCTTTCTGACTAACTCGGTAGTTATCTGGTTTCCATTTAGGTTTTAGGAGACGGCAGTTCAAATGGGGAGGGGCTTTGTAGTGGGCAGGGTTACAGAAGTAGATTCTTCAAGAAGTGACAGCTGATTCAGAACCTGCAGTGACAGCAGAGTTAAAAGCAGTAAAGCTCTTCGGAGCCATTAATGTAAAGCCCTAAAGATATTGTCACGTTATAGCCTCGTCAGTAAACAATATTCAAGATGATGACACTGAGTCATCCAAAAAAAAAAGTTGCTCAGGCAACATCCTCATTAGGATGGAATATATTTTAGAAAAAAATTTCTGTGTTCAATGGTTTACAAACGCACAACTGGTATAATCACAGTACATTTTCGTTTTGCTTCTGTGGGCCCACTCATTCTGAGAATGTGACAGTTCTCCTATAGACAAAAACTGTACTATGGACACTTCTCTTGTTTCTCTTATTTCTCAAAGTGGCCGAATTATTACCCAGCTCCTCTCATTTTGGGTGGCTTTTATTACTTGGTTCCCAGCATTCTGATCTATGTTCTCAGGTACTAATTCGTATAATAGTCACACTGTGCTATGAGATGGGTGTATTATTATCATCAGCTTTGAAATCGGGAAACAAGGTGCTTCAATTACCTGCTTCAAGTCACACAGCCAGCAAGGGGCAGAGTGAGTCTATTACGCTACCTGACTTCTTCTAAATGGCAGGCCCGTAATGGGGGAGAGCTGTCCACCCCATCTCTACCTCCAGGTCTGAACTGTGCTTCAAATTACATTATTTTAGACCATCCACTCTCGTGTTTATTTTCCTCTGGATACTCTCCTGTGTCTCTCTACACTTGTGTTCCTCTGACACGAGCGTCATACTCTAAGTTATTTTGCATCTAATACTTCCGTCAACAAAGTCTAAGATAGTGGGAGGTGAATTTTCCTTTTGGTGGGCAGCCAAACTGGAGTTACAGCTCGTCTTAAGTTTTTTTTTTTATTCACCCCGCTTCTCTGGACTGCAGTGGTAGCACTCTGACTGGTCTTCCTGCCCACCCTGCCCCCCTTCCCACAGCCCTTACCCCCCTCAGTGTCTGCTCTCTAATCAGTAATGAGAGTGAATCACTTCTCTGCTGGAAGCCCTCCAAGTTCTCCCCCACATTACTCAGAGTAAAAAAGCCAAAGTTCTACAGTCATTTGTCCAGCCCTCCTGGTGTGGCCCCCGGCTTCCTTTCCATCTTCACCCCCTGCCACTTTCCTTATGCACTAGGGTCCAGACACGAAGGCCTCTGATGTTCTTCAGACCTTCCTATACCCTTTGCACTCGCTGCTCCCTCTGCCTGGAACAGTTTTCCCAGAGATCCACTTGGCTCTCATCCCTTCCTTTGGGTCTTTGCTCAGAGGCCCCCCTTTCATCCCACGCCATCCCCCACTGCCCCCCTTTTCTGCTTATTGTAAAGTCATAGCATCGCTCATCATCGGCTGTTTGTTTCTTTCCTCTACCCCACCTCATATCAGATGATATCCACAAGAGCTCTTCCTGTCTTATTAGTGTATATCCACTAACTAGGAAGGTGCTAGCACACAGTAGGTAGCCAATAAAGAATTGTCGAAGCAAGGTTCTTGTTAATAATATTATTAATATTACATACAACACCCAGTGCTCATCCCAACAAGTACCAACCTTAATAGCCATCACCCATTTGGCCCATTCCCTGCCCACCTCCCCTCCAGCAACCCTCAGTTTGTTTTCTATGGTTAAGAGTCTGTTTTATGGTTTACCTCTCTCTCTCTCTCTTTTTTTTTTTACCCATGTTCATTTGTTTCATTTCTTAAATTCTACATGTGAGTGAAATCATTTGGTATCTGTCTTTCTCTGACTGACTTATGGTGCTTAGCATAACACTCTCTAGCTTCCCCCCTGGTGTTGCAAATGGTAAGGTTTCATTCTTTTTCGTGGTTGAGTAAGATTCTATTGTATATATACCACATCTTTATCCATTCATCAACTGACGAACATCTGGGCCCTTTCCATAATTTGGCTATTGCAGATAATGCTGCTATAAACCATCAGGGTGCATGTGCCCCTTTGAATCAGTATTTTTGTATCTTTTCGGTAAATACCTAGTAGTGCGATTGCTGGGTTGTACGGTAGTTATATTTTTAATTTATTGAGAACCCTCCATAGTGTTTTCCAGAGTGGCTGTACCAGTTTGCCTTCCCACCAGCAGATGTTTCAGGGACATTTAAATCTCCTTGAATAACTTTACATTTTCTTAAATCCCTTACTGAAGTGGAAGGTACACTGTATCTTTGTTTGTTTTACTATTGTATTCTTTTATCAGAAAAGAAGTGAGGCAGTTAGCATGTGACTTGTTCCTAGTGATCTCTAGATATGTATTTAGGGTCAGAGAGCTATATATTTCCCAGATGCAAACCATATCCTAAAAATTATATTTTATAGATTTATCAGGTGTCAAGATCAAAGTCTTCCCTGTACCACTTATGAAATTCACCCTCCAACCCTTTAGAAAAGCAGAACAGGTTTCCTGCCTCTCCAGTTTTCTAATTTTTTTCTGGGTCTCTGTTATTTCTCAAAGACAGTCCATTCCTTTGAGCCAACTGTGTTTCTGGGTCCCATCCCCTGGGTCTTTAGTGGAATCCTTCCATTCTCAGCATGAGCTTGGACAGAACACTTCTGGGTAGCTGTCAGAACGGTGGCTTCTGCTCAGTGGAGAGTGAACAAAAATTCCAACAATCCAGTCTCTGCTTGCATGACGAGCTAGCTCTACAGAATTATTGTGACAGTTCTTCTGTTTCTGACTTTTCCAAGTTTCTTGGCTTCCAGAATTTTCCTGCCTCGCTGTTATCTCAGGCTCCTTGTCCATCTATTTTTAGCTCTCAGATTTCACATCCTGCTTTCTCCATTTCAATTTGATCATGTTAATCTTATTTTCTGCCTCAGTGAATTAAAATTGGACTACTTCCATTTTTTTTTTCCTAAACCCAAGAGCTTCATTCAGGAAGTGACCTGAGTAGAGTTTTGTTTCAGCTTTTATTAAAGTAACATTCCAACTCTTTGTTCACAGCCTCACCTGCTGCTCCCCTTTCTCTTGACTGATTTTTCTCCTAATGCCTGTGAGAAGTGAGTAGATCCCAGCTTCCTTAAATGTGGGAAGTGCTGTGCTTTACTGAAACTCAGAAAATTCTCTGATTTCCGCCCCCTACGCCCCCCCCGCCAGCTTTCTGTTAACACTCTATCATAATTGCCTAAATTTGTCAATTGCCTTATTTCTTAGAAGGATCACAGGTTTGATTCACATTGGATGTGGCAAGATCCATGGATGTGGCCTCCATCTTCACTGAAGGCACCTGTCCCTCTGCTGCTGCCATTATTGCTCTTAGACTCCTGGCCACAATGGAAAGGTCTGTACTCTAGAATCAAATGGCGTTCCTGGCTCTACCACTGACTAGCTGAATGAGGTTTGGCAATTTAAGTTCTCTGAGCCTCGATTTCATAATCTGTATAATAGCAATTAAAAAAAAAAGATTTACCTCCAGGAGCACCTGGGTGGTGCCGTCAGTTAAGTGTCTAACTCTTGGTTTTCCCTCAGGTTGTGATCTCAGGGTCGTGAAATCGAGCCCGCATTGGGCTCCGTGCTCAGCACAGAGACTGCTCGAGATTCTCTCTCTCCCTTTCCCTCTGCTCCTCCTGCTTGTGCTCTCTCTCACTCTCTGAAATAAATAAATCTCTTTTTTTTAAAAAAAAATTTACCTCTAGGTTTGCGGCGATGCTTAAATGAGATATTATAATGCAAAGCACCTTGAACAGTTACTTAGAATTATTTTTTCCTGTTCTATAATAGCACTAATTTAACAACTGTGGAAAAAGGGAAAGTTGTGAAACCTTTTTTTTTTTTTTTTTTTTTAAGGCTTGGTTACTGCACCTGGACCTGGAAGACTTGTTTTTCTAGGTGAAGAAATATTTCCCCTGTGTGAAGGTTTCATAATCACCGCCAAGCTGGCCCGAGTGCTGCCATTTAAAGTGGCTCCTCTCTTTTATCTCTGATACACCTGCACCCTGGGAACGAGGACACCGATCCAGCTCCTGGGACACTACAGGGTAATCACCAAAGTCTCTTCGAATTCTGTGTTGCCATGATCCCATGGTTTTGGATGCCCAGAGCATGACATGGACACTCTTTGAATTTCATACCATGAAGAGTCATTTTTATTTCCCTGGGACCTCAACTGAGTTTAGAACAGGTAAGTGAAAGGGAAGGAGGCACATGGTGAAGTCGGCCGTAGAACCACTGTTCAACATGGTCATCCGAGAAGTAGAAAGGGAGCCTTCTTAAGCTTACCCAAGCCAGATCAGGTGAGTTAACCTGTGGAGTGGAGTGGAGGGTAGTCTTATACTTTAAAAAAATGGCCTCGGAAGGTAAAATTTATCAGAAAAAAATGAATTCCGTAAAGACAAGGGCAAAGCAGTTTATTTACGAAGGGAAAATGTTACCCAAGTAGAGAGACACTGTCTGGGAATATGAGCTTGAAATTTAAAAAAAAGGGAGAGGTAACTGACTTTCAATGAAGTCCTGTCTGGAAAACATGTCAGTACCACTACTACCCCCATGATTCCTAAATCTAGACTTCTTTGGTCCCTGTAAAATTATAACACCTTTAGTGTATCTTTAACAGCTTTTTTAGGAACATATTAACCAAATGTGCAAGTTCTGATCTGGCCATAAAATACTAGGAGAACTATAATTCTCTAGGATTAATGAATAACATTTGTTTATTTGATTTACTTTATAAAATCATTCTAAAATCTGTTTACATATCTGTCCTCTCCAGGGTGAAATTTATAGTGGTTCAGCAGATTGTTTACTATTTCTTCTTCTACTACTACTACTTCTTCTTCTTCTTTTTTTTTTTCCCATCTTTCCTGCTCAGTGCCCAACCCAAGTTCAAAGGCTGATGACGGAGAAAAACTCATGAAGAGGTTTTACTCTAGGGAAAGTTGTTCAGTGGATGGGATCTTGGTGCATAGGGAAGGATGTTAGGCTCTTCCTGGCTCCTTCTCAGCCTCGCTGCTCTAACTGCTGCTCAGTCCACCACTGAGGATCTGGTCAAGACATTTTTGGAGAAGTTTAACTATGAAGCCGAAGAGCTGTCTTATCAAAATTCACTTGCTTCTTGGAATTATAACACCAATATTACCGACGAGAATATCCAAAAGATGGTGAGTTTCCGTGGCTACGTAGGGGTATTTGTTGCTTCTTAAAGGTTAGATTACTGCCTGTGCTACTGAAAAGGGAAAGCCAAGAAATGCTCTGAGTTGTGAGATTGGATGTTTGCCTCAGTATTTCTGATTCTGGAGTCCCAGATGACTAAACGTAATTGACCCCGGGACTCATTTGGAAGCTGTTACAAAATAATTCACTGGTCTCAGTCCAGATTCTTAGAAACAAGTGAACATGCTTTATAAAGTTATACCATAATTCTCATCATAATCAGCGTTTCAAAGCATTTCACGGAAATGCCATGAGTTATTGAGTTAATAATTTTCCCAAGCCTACAATGTCAACAGGAATATCTGAAGACTCTCTAAAATAATATATTAACTGGAAAATGCAATTGGAGGCTTAGTGAAAAAGCTAGCTAGTAATTAAATGGTTACCATGGGTCTGGAGACTGGATTTGGGAATTCCTTCCTTCATTGTCACGGAGCTCTAAGGGACTTCCAAAGGTCACAGAATCCATCCAGAGCCCTTGCAGAAAAACCATAATCAAGCCAGTTTTGACAAATCTCAGAATGCTCTGACAAAGCAAGATGCTTTGACAAGTGCGAGGATTTAGGAATTTCTTCTCTCGCCGTTCGCAAAGCAGTGTCCGTACACATTGGGGCTGGAAATTGAGCAACATTATTTTAGAAAAGATTTTGTATCACTTGTATGGCAATACGTTCCTTCACAAATGTAGTTCAGATATTGTTTCAAATGCTGAGTAGGTTGCATGTTTAAATTACTGCCATTCACGGGACAGATCATACCTGAGCCATACCACCTCATTTGAAATACTCCAAGAGAAGGTTTGCCATTTTTCTAACGCTCAAGGCAATCCTGGAGATTTTGACAGCCCGGTGTTGTCATAGGAGATCATTTGTTTCTTGTCTCCTATTTTGGTCTTACCTCTCTCCCTCTCTTTATTGTTGCTTTCCCCTCGCTTTTTATTTGATCTCTCTCGGAGGTGCCTAAAGTGTACCGTGTATTGGCTTTCATTCTCAGCCGGATGGTCCTGTAGGTGCTGCGGAAGGTGTACCGGCTTCATGCCTGAGGACTCTGGAGCCAGACTGCTGAGGTCCAGATCCTGGCCCTGGCACTTTACAGCTGGGTGAGCTTCAGCGGGTCAGTTAATGTCTCTGCACCTCCAGGAGCTCACCTGTGTAGAAGAGCATCTCGCTACTGTCTGCTTTGGAGTGTGGCCGTGAAGCCCGAATTCATACTGAGAGCCCCCAGAGTGGTGCTCGGTGCTTGTGAGCCTGGGAGAACCGCTCAGTCCGATTGCTCTGAGCATGGGAGGGAGTTCTAGCTGCCCAAGACACAGGTAACAGTTCTGCTGAGCGCCCTCTGCTGAGAAGGCTCGTTACGGGAGGAGACAGAGCGATGGTTGTTGATAGCTTCTCCGATCATTGAAGGTTATTACTTTTGAATTGCAGTGGCAGATGAGAGCCAAGGCCAGAGAGGAAAGGTCACAAATCATGAAGTGTGGCCAAGCTGCAGAAAGCATGGACCCTTGAAAGGAAAGTGAAATTATTAGAATGCAAAAAGGAAGCAGGTGACCACCGGCGATGCCCAGCGAGGGCGGTCCGGTGGTCAGGAAGGGCTGCTGCTGGCTGCTGCTGCTTGGTGCACGCCAGGCACCTGGCTGAGAGAGCGTGAGGGTAATTTTGGCTAACTCTTTTGGTTTGGTGCAACTTCGTGATGTTTCAGATCTAGTTATAGGACCTGGGTGATAAGATGAGGTTTTTTTCCTTTGCTTTTACTATAGAGAGCTTTTAATGACAGCTTTACTGAGATATAATTTATGCACCATAAACTTCAATTCAAAGTATGTGATTCAGTGCTTTTCAGTATATTTACAGAATTGTACAACCTTCGTCACCATCTAATTTTAGAACATTTTCATCACTCCGGAGAGAAACCACATGCCTCTCAGTCATCACTCTTCCTCCCAGCTCCTAGCCCTAAGCAACCACCAGTCTACTTTCTGTCTCCATAGGTTTGCCTATTTTGAACATTTCATATAAACAGAATTGTACAACACATGGTCTCTAACCCTAACATTACTTCATTGCTTTTTGTTGCCAAATAGTATTCCATCATCTGATTTTTCTTTATTTTTTATCGTAAAAAATTTCAAGCATGAATAAAAGAAGAGAGATGAGTACATTGAATCTCTTCATACCCATTGCCCAGTTTACAAATTATTAACACTTTGGCCAGTCTTTTTTTTTTTTTTTCTACCCAACCCCACACTACTGGATTATTTTGAAGGAAATCCAAAACATGATATAGCTTTATGTGTGTATTTCATCTTGTAGCTCTCAAAGTATTTTTTTTAAAACAACCTTAGTAATAGTACCATGCTGAAAACTTAACAATAACTCCTCAGTATCATCAATTATCTGGTCATCATTCAAATGCACCCTACCGTCTCATTTTATTTCTTTTTCAATTTCAGTTGCTGTTTTGTTTGAATCAAGATCTAACAAGGACCTCTCCTTGCAATCATTTTGAAGGATGTACTTTAGCTCTCTTTTAATCTACAGAATCCCTCCCTCATTTTTTTTCTTTTTTGCAATTTATTTGCCTAAGAATTAAACTTTGGGTGCCGTAGAAACTCACACTTTCTGGACTTGCTGATTGTGCCCCCTAAATGTTGCTTAACATGCTCTTTTGTCGCCTGCATCTCCTGTAAATGTATAGATCTAGGGCAGAGGGCAGAGCAATTTTTCTGTAAAAGGTCAGTTAGTAAGTATCTCAGGCTTTGTGGGCCCTATGGCCTCTGTTCAGCTCTGCCATTGTAACGCGAAAACAACCATAGACAATACATGGAGTGCGATTATGTTGCAATTAAACTTTATTTACAAAATTAGATGGTGGGCAGAGCCCTGATCTATAGATTTGATCAGACTCAGGTTTTACCCCTGAGTGACTTAACAGGTGTGGAAATTGAATTCCAGTACTAGCATGGTGCAGGAATATTGAGGCAAGAAATGAACAAAAAACTAGTTCAGGTCCCGAGGGCTCTGGAAAAAAGAATAGCTTGGGATGGAACAGTATGTCCTAGGGGGTCAGAATTCAAGGCAACATTATGTAATTTTGGGGGGACGGATTTAAAGTATAACACTTATGGTAGTGATAAATAAAATAAAACCGGTATCTTCAAAGTAGCTCTATGTCGTGTAATTAAAAAACGGCTAAGACTGGGCCCTTTTGGGGATTGTGAGTTGTTTCCGGAGGAGACTGAGAACAAAATTATTGCTATAATTTGGTATCAAAGTTTTACCAGAAATTTTGCTTGACAGTAAGTCACCCTGGGTTGGGTGAAGGAGGATAGGGATTTAGAGGTAAGTTGTGAATGGACAAATGAGTCTGTGCCGTAGACCAAACTCTTCTTTCCATAGCTCGCTACTTCCCACTCATGTGTTACAGAGAACATAATGCGTTGAATATCATCTATAGGCAATGAGTCAATGGTGAAAAGTGTTCGCTTTGGAGGTGAACATACCTGGGATGGCACGCTGGTTCTTTCAAATCACTAGCTGTGTGTCCTACCGGACCCCGTGTATCAGTTTCCTCGTTTATGAAGTGGAGACTGTCACAACTACCTCACAAGATTGCTTGTGAAGATTAATTGAGAAGTAGTTCCTGACGGGTTGTATGTACTCAATAAAGAGAGAAATCATTTTCCATTTTTACTGCCGTTATTTTCATCTCTTGTCTGATTCCACTGTTGTCATGTCCACACACTATTCCCATCACGTCCTGTGCCTGCTTGGAGCCCCTAAGTGATTCCCTAGTATTCAAAGGATAATAGTCAAATTCTTTGGCCTGGAAAATGCAGTTGTGCCCGAAGTCCTGCCTTTGGGATTGGTATTAATTATTTATTGTGTTAAAAATTACCACAAGCTTAGCAGCTTAAAATAACACACATTTATCATCCCACAGCTTCTGTGGGTCAGGAGCCCAGGCGCCACTTACCTGCATCTTCCATTTCTGAGTCTTCTAAGGTTGTCATCAAGCTCCTGGCTAGTGCCGTGGTCTCAGCTGAGGTTTGACCAGGGATGAATCCACTTCCAAGCTAATGTGGTTAGTGGTAAGCCTTCAGATCCTTGGGTGCTGCGGGACTGAGGTCCTTAGTTTCTTACAGGATATCAGGCAGAGGCCATCCTCAATTCCTCCACACATGGCTGGGGAGACCATAGTGTTGTTCACAGCATGGCATCTTGCTACATCAGAGTCAGCAAGGGAGACAGAGTTTTAGCAAGATAAAAATTAGAATCTTATATAACATAGATAGGTACATGATGTCACCTTTGATGCATGCTACTGGTTAGAAGCAAATCATAGCTCCTGCTCACCCGTAAGGGGAAGGAAATCACACAACTGTGTACCACTGAGAGGTGAGGACCATGGGATCCATCTCAGAGTTTGTGTACCGCAGGAGCCAGGATCCAGATGCTGTCAGCTGATGGCCATAACCACTATTTACCGCTCTCAGCCCCCTTACGCACTTATGAATAATGGAGACAGAATGACTTTCTATCTCATGTGAGTAGGAAGATCAAATGAAGTTGAATTATTCTGCAAAGTACTCTACACCCAACTCCTACCTACTTTAGGGTCTTCTCCATGAGTGCTTGGCCAAATGTAGTTGCCTACATGAGTCTTTCTTTTCTTATAGCAGAAACTGCTTGGCCACTGCAAGTTAATACATGATCATACGCTGTTATATTTCATTAATGAAACATTCATGCTGCATAGTTAATCTTTCTGATAAAACTATAGTAACTTAAGGACAAAGTACTTTTTTCTATAAATTATAAAATAGCTAACTTTTAAATGTTTAGTTTGTATCAGATACTGTGATAAACATTTTATTATTTGTTAATTCTTCTCATCCTTACATCAAATCTTTGAGGTAAGTCCTGGTATTACTCTCATTTTACAGATAAGGTAACTGGCTCAGAGAAGGTAAGTAATTTGCCTAAAGTCACACAGCTAGTTAGAGGTATGTGACTTTAAAAATGGAGATCTGACTTGTCTTATATGCTACCTCTTTTATATAGTCTAGAGAAATACAATGTACAAAGTAATTGCTCATTTTCATCTTTGGTAAATGAAAATGAGTTTGTACCTTGAGAAGAGATTATACTAGAAGAGTCTGGAGAAGTCCACTTGCCTATACTGATGTTCAAGTTGTGGGGGTGGGGGGGAGTGAGTTCTGGCATCATCACCTGTTCGTTGGTTTCTTTTGTGTTAGAAAATCACCATGGCTACCAAAAGGCCATATTCTGGGCAACCTTCTTTGGGGAATGTAAGTTAAGATCAGTCTCTCTGGTAAGTCATGGCACCATGGAGCTCACTGCAAACTGTTTCTCATTTCTTATGGTTCCCATTGTCATGAGGGGCTGTATTCCCATTAAGTTTGCTCTGAACTTTACTGGCCCCCCTTTGGAGCATTCATCCTCAAATCCTTGATTAACTCACAATGCTAAGGCATAAATTCCAGGGACCCATGTCACAATGCTAAAGCCATAAATTCCAGGGACCTACAGTGTGAATTATCTGTGAGAATTCATTTCCAGTTCAGGGTTTAGGACCCTTGGGAAAACTAGGCACTGGGCCAGAAAGAGAGAGTGACCAAGAATGGCCTGGTCACTCGTGACCTAAGCCTTGACCTTTAGCAAAGTAGAGAACTAAACCACTCAGGAAATATTAGATTTTCCACCAGATGTTTTCTGGACGGTATCTTCTGTTCTCTCTGTTCAAGCAGTGCCATTCTGACTTCAACTTTATTTTTTGTCGTTTCAGAATATTGCTGAGGCCAAGTGGTCTGCCTTTTATGAAGAGCAGTCCCAGAATGCCAAAACCTACCCACTAGAAGAAATACAGGATCCTATAAACAAGCGTCAGTTGCGGGCCCTTCAGCAGAGTGGGTCATCCGTGCTCTCAGCAGACAAGCGCGAACGAGTATGTGAACATTCTAGCACTGACCCCAAGAGCTGAAATATTTGGGAAACATTAAACATTAATATCCCCATGGCTTCTTCTTTTATCTGCAAAGACAGTGATGCTGGCATTAGAAAGAGCTCTGTGCCTACGTAGGGTGACCACAAAATTTGTCATCCAAACTGGAATCCTTTTGCAAGTGAAAGAAGTCACTGGTAATAATTATGTTAGGACACAAGAGTTAAACTGGTGTTGTCTGGGCACGGTGTTGTATACGCGTGCTGTATACAGACGTCACCTTCCTGAGGACGAGGCGGCCTGAAGGATATGCTTAGTCTATGTCAGTCGTGCTCAGCCAGGGGTGATTTTACCCCCTGGGGCCACTGGATGATATGTGGAGACATTTTTGGTTGTATAACTGGGGGAGGGACCAGCTATTAACATCTAGTGGGTAGAGGCCAGGGACGCTGCTAACCAGTCTGCAATGCACAAGAGAACTCCCAATGACAAAAAATTACATGGTCCAAGATGTTTATAGTGCCAAGCTGAAGGAGTCCTGTAAGCGGTCCAATTCCTTCCCCCTTTTGTTCTTGATTCTTCTCTGTAACGTCTTCAAAAAGTGGCCAAGAGCCTCAGCTCAAACTGCTTTACAGGTGGGTGATTCGTCTCTTTCTAAGGCATCCGTTCCATATGTGCATCCCCCTCATTGAGGGAGATACTCCCTCCATCGAGCATTAAGTGCTTTACCTCCACTTTGTTCTGCCTCCTGGATCCAAATTGCTCTTTCCTAAAGTAGTTTTTAAATAAATGAAGGTACCTATTTTTTTTAAAAAGATTTTATTTCTTTGTGAGAGAGAGAGAGAGCACAAGCAGGGGAGCACAGGCAGAGAGAGAAGCAGGCTCCCCACTGAGCAAGGGGACTGATGTGGGACTTGATCCCAGGACATTGGGATCATGACCTGAGCCAAAGGCAGACAGACGCTCAACTGACTGAGCTACCCAGGTGCCGCAGCTATTTTTTTTTTTTTAAACTAGTTGTGTCCTTTTTTTTCCTTTAAATCTAGGCTAACTAGATTAAATTCACTCTGTCAATTTCCTTCTCTACAATGGTTTCAAGTTTCCTAACCAGTCCTAGCTGCTGTCTTCATTTTGTCAGTAACCTTGAACTAAACACCACACTCTGAGTTGGTTCCAGTCTGCATGAAGGCGAGCAGAAATATGACATTCTGCACCCTGTGCCCTACATCTGTTAAGATAGTCTAGGACTATACTAGGTTTTTATTGGTTTGGGTTGGTTTTTTTGACAGATTCCATGTTGGCTCATATCAGCATCACTGTCGATGAAGTTCTCCAGATCTCTTCCTCTGATGTCGCTCTAAAATAATAGCTTTCAAGATCCTATTTTTAAATAGGTAGTTTGTTCAAATTTAAGGAAGCCTATATTTGCCCTGTTAAAATAACATCTCTCATCCCATCTCTCTAGCCTGGGAGCCAGCAAATTTTTTTTCTGTAGAAGGAAACATAGTCAGTATCTTGGGTTTTGTGGGCCATATATTGTCTGTCACGATGAGTTAACTCTGCTGTTGCAGCAGGAAATCAGCATAGCTAATACATAAACACATGAGTGTGGCTGTGTTCCGATAAAACTTTACAAAAACAGACAGCAGACGGTATTTCGTCTGCAGATCATAGTTTACAGACCCCTGATCTAACCTACTAAAACATTTTTATCTAAAATATTTGACTATTTAAAATCAAAGTCTTCTTTTTCAGTTGCTTGTCCTCTGGAACTCTGTTGCAAGCTCTGTCTATTAAAAGAAAAAATTCATGATAAGGACAAAGATAAACCATATGGCACATATCTTCCTACAATGTTATTCCTATCTGTTATTCCACATTCTTTGGATTCAATTATCCAACTCGTTATTAATCCACTTTATCTTATCTACTCCATGCTTCCCCATGTTGTTCACAAAGACACCACATGAAACCTTGCTTGTTAGTATTGTACAGTCTAGACAGCTAGCTAGAACCTAGAACCTGTATTTTTGTAAGATCCCAGGTAATTCTAATGTGCAGCCAAAGTTGAAAACCACTGAAATGCCTGTAAAAGCTTGGAGTGTTTGGGAAGAGAGGAGACTCAAGGATGCATGAGTTCAATGGAGAGGAAAGAGGGGAGACTGAAAAAGCAGGTAGACCAAGAGACCACGAGGAGTCATGGTAAGGAATTTGAATTGATTCCTTTGGACTATGGGACCTTGTTGAAGTTTTAAGCATGGGATCTATTTCATGTTTTAGAATAATGATTCTTATAGCAGAGTGAAAGAATAATGGAAGAGGGAAATAGGAGAAGGGAAACTGAGCCTTTCATTGAGAGCTTCTTAAATCAAATGTGGAAGAGAACCAGTTCCTTCCCTCCACTCCCCTCCCCTCCCCTCCCCTTCTCTCCCTCTCTTACTCCCTTTCTTCTTTTATTACCAATCCATTGCAGATAATAAAATTCTTTTATTACCAATCCATTGCAGACTCTCATGCTGAGGTGTCATGGAAATATCAAATGGTTCTTAAAGTTTATAAACCTTTATTCTCTTTAAAAAAATTATTCTCTTGATTCCTGTACTTATCACAGAATAGAAACAAACCATTTACTGTCTTGCTCTGGTCCACAGACCATACTTTGAGTAGCACTGCTTAACCCTATTACCTTTACCTGCAGGGTAAAGTTCAAACTCTTTAGTGTAGCACAGATGACCCCTCACGACCTGGCCCCTGCTAACCTCTCCATCCATACATCCCCCACTTCCCTCAGTCAGCCTCACTATGCCAGTTTCCTTCAAGGTGTCATCACTTCTGGAAAATACCTGCTCTTTCCTAACCTCCATCCATCTTTTAGGCTCTGCCTTCTATCTCCTTTTTCTACTGGACCAATTCCCACTTCTCTTCCAAGACACCACGCTAATGTCCCCTCATCGCTGAAGCCGTCCCTTAATCTCCAAGTTATCCATTTATCCACTCCCTGCCAGACTGCCACATCACTTTTTCATGGCAGTTACACCACTTGTCACTTGGTCATGTCATTATGGATTTCATGGCTGCCTCACTGTCCCATGACTGTGGGGTCCTTGAGGACCAGTGACGTGTTCGTGTCAGTTATCTGAGTGTAGGGCACAGTAGATGTTCAGTAAATGTGTACTCAGAGATTGCTGAATGAAACACCAAATGCCCATGTCTGCCCATGTGTACCTGAGCAGCGTCCCCAGAACTCCGGTAAATCTGTTTATTTCAGTCACTCCACGTGTATTTATTATGTGTTTCTATCTAAGCTTCCGTGTTAGTTGGTGGGCGAATTTAACAGAGATATTCCTACCCCTCATGAAGGAGGATACTTGGCAAAGATGTGAGCTGCTGTATTTTGAGGCATAAAAAAATCACATGGTCTAAAGGACATATTTGCCTTAGCACATTTACCAGTTTAAACATTGTTTATTATATTTAATTTGCAGCTGAACACAATCCTAAATGCCATGAGCACTATCTACAGTACTGGAAAAGCTTGTAACCCAAATAATCCACAGGAGTGTTTATTACTTGAACCAGGTAAGTTATTAATTTTGAGCAATGATTATGAAATTTAACTTTTTTCCTCTAAGTTTTAAATTTTTTAAACTTATTTGTTTGTTTGCTTATTTGAGGGAGAGAGATAGAGAGAGGATGTGCCTGTGCGTGAGGGTTGGGGGACAAGGGGAGTCTCAAGCAGACTCCGTGCTCAGCTCAGATCCCTGCACGGGGCTCGAGCCCATGACCCCGAGATTATGACCTGAGCCGAAGTCAAGAGGTGGACGTTTAATGCTTAACTGACTGAGCCAGGCACCCCTTTTAACTCAAAGTTTTAAAACTGAGATTGGCACTGGCTGATAACATGGTGCCTTTCAAATGGATAATGCAAAGATTAGGTAAGATTCCAAATAGGTGTTTTAACACATAGATGAACTTTTAACTTTTAACCAAACTTCATGGTAAATTCTGTCACATTCCAAAGAGTTTAATTAAGTTTGCAGCTAAGTGATTGCAAAGGTTTATTTTCTCTGCAGAAATATTTTGAAACTATAACAAGGATGAAGAAATCAATATATTGTGAGATTTCCTTTAATAACCATATGCCTTCGATGTCTGCTAGCCTGACTTTTAATTCTTTAAAGCTCATATAATTGCGAATAAAAATATTACAAATGCATGTTTATTTCCTATTGGGTGCTTTGCAATGACAGGTTTGGATGACATAATGGAAAACAGCAGAGACTATAATGAGAGGCTCTGGGCCTGGGAAGGCTGGAGGTCTGAGGTCGGCAAGCAGCTGAGGCCATTATATGAAGAGTATGTGGCCCTGAAAAATGAGATGGCAAGAGCCAACAGTAAGTCCGCCAGCCTGTAGAGGTCCTGCAGCCCGCTTTGGGGCTGTGGGCTATTTCTCACGAGTTACCAAGGCTTCCCTTCGGTAGAAGACATGTCCCCAAATTAATGTTCATCTGCTGAACAAATTCAGGTTATGTGTCTCAAAGAAGAAACTACTAGGGAGTAAGGTGTGCTGACATTCTACAATTTAGAGAACTCAGAGATGAGACTGAACTACAGGGCGTCAAACAAGTCAGTTGTCCAGGAAAGTATCAGGAACCAGAGATAGCCTGGAGATTGAGTAGGGATTCTATTTCTCAGATAGGGTGGGAGACAGAGACAATGTCTCTCCCCTAAAATCCTATCTGGCCACAGTTCATTCTCGAAGGCCATTTGTGTGTTTAACTCAGGGTGGTGGTCCAGAAAGAAAACAAAAATCAGATTAATTTAGGCTGGAACTCCATTCTGTTCTGCAGTTGTAATTATAACTCAGATCGTGTAGTCCTAAAACTGTTAACATGGGGCAGAATTTCCGTATCTCCTAACTTATTCTCCTGCCTGAATAATGAGCTGAAGCTACGGCGTTATGAGTAACTTTATGCTTTGGTGATTCACTGCCCCCTGGGGTTGAGTAAGGAAGCATTTTTTTTTTCATCTGTCGTTTCTAAATATCTCCCACTGCCGCTTAAAATGATACCGTCAAGCCACGGGCAAGCTGGAGACAGTAGCTCATCACCACATCCTTCTGTCCAAAGAGTTCTTTCTCTCTTCCTTCTGATCATCCATTGCCAATGGGCATGTAAAAGTAAAAAATTACCAGAACACATTTGCAAACGTTATTGGCTAATATCCCAATGCAAGCTTGTGTCTCCCGATGCTGAGATGTTACGTGAAGCCCAGAGAGATGCTCTGTGCAGACGCGTAATTTACAAACACACACAGGCCCACTGTGGCAAGGTCTAAGATGAGTTGAGTTAGATGTGATAATACAAGTCCCTGAACCAAAGGAGGATTTAAAAACACAAATCCAGTCACATGTTTTAAAGCCAAAAATACAAACTCAAGTACGGAGAGGGTAGAGACTGAGGGTTATGGGACTCGTAACGTGCCTTTGCCTCTTACCAGTGGGGTGATCCTGGACAAATGATTCCCCCATCTAAGAACAGCCTGCTAATCTGCATGACTTCCATGATGTCAATCTGGTTGGGCTTTTGTACTTATTAGATGAGGTAAAGCCTTCAAATTTCTGGCAGAGAGCAAGTGCTTGACAGATACCAGCTAGCGTTATTCGTTCCATCCCTTTGAGTTATTACTTAGAAAGGCAGTAAAAATGGGACAGATCTTTGGATTTTTTTAACCTCCCAGCAAGGTTAATCCGTGTATACAGTGCTTCATCTCTTTCTTTCCCTGATGTTCTCTTCCTTTTTTTTTTTTTAAAAAAAAAAACAGATTATGAGGACTATGGGGATTATTGGAGAGGAGACTATGAAGAGGAGTGGGCAGATGGCTATAACTACAGCCGCAACCAGCTGATTGAAGATGTGGAACACACCTTCACACAGGTGTCCAAGGAACCTTACACAGAGACAGACATAGGGCAGTGCGTGGGAAGAAGGGACAATGACCAAAGGCATTCTGGCTTCTTCTTAACACGCTCATCAGCCATTCCCAGAGTTATGGAATATTAGAGCTTGGAAAGATTTTTAACATGCGCTTATCATATGACTAAAGTATTCCACTCTGAGGTGTCTATATGAGAGAAATGAACATAAGGATCCATACAAAGACTCACACATGAATGTTCATGGAAGCATCACTCGTAATGGCCCCAAACTGGGATCAACCTAGTAGTCCTTTAGCTGCTGAGCTGTATCCATGAGATACTAAATGAAGCAAACTCGGATGTATTCATACAATGAAACACTACTCAGTAATAAAAAGAAGGAGCTGCTGATACATGCACTAACACGCATGAACCTACCATTCATGGTGCATGAAAGAAGCCAGACAGAAAATGTCACAGACTTTATGATTTCATTTATATGAAATTTCCAGGATAGACAAAACTATGGTGTCAGAAATCCATTCAGTGATGACCTGGGGCTGGGGGTGGGACTAGAATTGACTGCAAATGGGGACAAGAAAAGTTTTGGGGATAATGGAAATATTCTAAAAGTGGGTACTAGGGAAGACCGCCCAACAGTATACATTTACTAAAACTCATGAAACTGTACATTTAAAAATGGGTGAATTTTATAGGATTTAAATGTACTTCAATTTAAAAACAAAGGAAGTAGGTAACATCTTAAAAAGGAATATTTTTGCATCCGCTTTCATTTTGGGACCTGTATTCCTCCCAGGTGTGTTAATTGCTCTATGCCATGAACCTAGTCATCATTAATATCTGGGAAGAAGAGATCCTTTCAAACTCTCCAGTGTATTTGAGAGGAGAAGAAATTAGAATTTAGGGAAATTCTACTTGTCTAAAGAGGCTTCTGTCTTTAGTGTTGGGGATTGGAAATTGGAGTAGACTACTCTTGGTCTTAAATTTTCTTCCTCGGCTTTTCAGATTAAACCACTGTATAAACATCTTCATGCTTATGTGAGGGCAAAGTTGATGGACGCCTACCCTTCCCGTATCAGCCCAACTGGATGCCTCCCAGCCCATTTGCTTGGTGAGAAACTCCAGGAACTCTTTGTGTACTTTTTGTTCTCTGCTATTTCTTTTTCCTTTTCCTTTTCCTTTCTTTCTTTCTTTTCTTTTTTTTTTTTTTTTTGGAATGAGGCCCAACATAAAACTTTCGGAAAATTTTGTGGATGTAGATGGTAACATTATTGAAATCACATTTTGCAAGGACTTTCTTCAACATAAAAGCCATTTAAAATTATTCTCTATTGCATTATTTTATTTTACACATAAAGGGTTATTATGTTGGCCACAGTCCAAAGGATAAGGGTATATTTAAAATAACTAGAGAAAGAACTCCAAGTTCAAATGAGAGTGGAAATAGGGAGAATAAGTTTTATAATTTAAGTTGATTGGCTAAGCTTTTGAGGTGGAGTTTGGCATTTTAGTATTATATTACCAGAGGAATAAAGCTTGGTAGGATGGGGGTGGTCAGGGAGGAGAGAAAGGCTTTCTAGAATTAAAGTATAGCTTGAGTGAACATTTCATAAGTTTATTCTAAACTGCACCAATTACTTTCACTGCAGAGTATGTGCTTTGGAACTGTATGGGTTACGAATGAAGTCTTTGCCATGAAGAAAAATGCCCAGCTTAAGAGGAGACTCAATCTTCCAAGAACTTTCTATCCTGCCACAGAGCCTTTGTAGACCATGAAAGACCTGACGCCTTTTGTTGAATCTCCTAATTCCCTTCTAGAGAGTGGCCATCCTTCCTTCCCCTCTGCCACTCTCTAGCTGAAGCCAAATAAGATATATGTGTTTGAAAAGTTCATGTCATGCATACATAGCATTCCTACCAAGCTAAGTTGCTGGTGACTAATTCTGCTCAAGAGCCAAAGCTCTCTCGCAGCAGGAGAGAATATAGACAAAGGGCTTGTGGAGACTTTTACTTTAAGGCAATATATAAATACTCTCTACAATGTCTTTGGTAGGCATTCTTCCATAATTCAGTTTCTGCTTAACCCTATCTGGTGTGACGTGGCTCTTTCTTCCTTCCAAGGTAGACTAATCTAGTGCTACGTGGTACCAATTATAAGCAAGTTCTGCCTTACGTGGGACTGAATCAACACCCCTCTAATGCCTTGCATTCATTTTGTCTAATTCCATGATATGAGTTTCCTTGGAATATGTCCATTCTTCTTCTATAAGATGGCCTTCTGGATCTCTTAAAAAACCATCGTATAAGGCACAGCATAGTACCTGACCCAAGAGTATGTAATCAATATATTTTAGAGGGTATTATTGTTACCATCATGTATACACTCTTTGCTTCTTTCCAGTGAAATATCCTACACAGATTTTTAGCCATTCTTTAAAATCTCAATTTTCTAATTGTTCTCCTTTGGACAAGCTAGGCCTTGTTGATGTCTCTCTTCACATATCATGCTCAGAACTGAACAATTGCTCCAGCTGAGGTTTGGCCAATATGGAGTAAAAGTGGTACCATGCCTTCCTTTGTTCTAGAGTCTATAATTCTTTTTTTTTTTTTTTTTTGCTTTTTCTATATATTTATTACAGGTACAACAGAGGTCTTCGTAAATAGTTGCTTTTCTTTTTTGCTTTTTCTTAATTCTATTTATTTACCTTAAGATCACATTTGTGTTTTGGAAGCCATGTCACACTGTTGAGCCCCTTTTGGGCTTTTACACGTAGACTATGTTTCAGCTCAAAGTCACTTATCACATATTTTTATAGTGGATACATCTTTCTTTAAAACTTAAGTAGAGGGGCACCTGGATGGCTCAGTCAGTTAAGTGTCTGCCTTCAGCTCATGTAATGATCCCAGGGTCCTAGGATTGAGTCCCACATTGGGCTCCCTGCTCAGTAGTGAGTCTGCTTCTTCTTCTCCCTCTGCCCCTCCCCCCTGCTTGTGCTCTCTCTCTCTCTCTCAAATAAATAAATAAAATCTTTAAAAATAGTGGTGCCTGGGTGGCTCAGTTGTTAAGCAACTGCCTTCAACTCAGATCATGATCCCAAGGTCCTGGGATTGAGCCCCGGGTTGGGCTCCCTGCTCAGCGGGGAGCCTGATTCTTCCTCTCCCACTCCCCCTGCTTGTGTTCCCTCTCTTGCTGCATCTTTCTCTGTCAAATAAATAAATAAAATCTTTAAAAATAAATAAATGAAATTTGAGCATAGGCCCTTATACTTATCTCTACTGAATTTTAATGTTTAAAACATGAGTTCATTGGAATATTTTTCATGTAGTTATGTTGCACCATTCCTTTGGTGCCAACACTCTGGTATTGCTATTAGACTGACTTTTTCTAGATCCATCTTGCCTTTTAGGGTCTCTGGCCTTGGAATCCAATTTCTCATTTGTTTGAGATGTTTGAAAAATTACTCAATTAAGTGTATCACTATAGTATATTGATAAAGGTGAAACTTTGTTACTAGTTAGTAGAGATTCCTCGATGATGATCCCATATGATCTCTCTTGAGTCCAATATTAGGAATTACTAATAGTATAATTTTCAATATTTTGTTTCATGGATGGTAGATTATATAAATCTGTTTCTAATCTATAGTAGCTATGATGTTGCATACAGTTAATAAATAGTGCCTTTGAATTGTAATTCAAAATGGGAGAAACAGGGATAGTCTCCTGCCATTTTAAACTTTTAGAGGAGATAGTTAGAAGGGCGTGTTGAAAATTATAAATAAGAGAACAGAAAAAGAGGTAATGAAAAGAAACTAGATTAAATCTAGAATACTGTATGACCTATTTACTGATCCTAACTTATGCACTGTGTAAAATCAGGTCTGTGTAAAATCAGAAATCACTTCTGCCTTTGTTATGTATTAACAAAAAAATTTTTTTTTAAATAGGCGATATGTGGGGTCGATTTTGGACAAACCTGTACCCTCTGATGGTCCCCTTTGGACAGAAACCAAACATAGATGTCACTGATGCAATGGTGAACCAGGTAGGAAGAGGCCTTAAAAAACAAATCTAAATCCTCAACTTCATTTCTTTTTCTGCCATTTTTCTCTCCTTATCTTTTGCATATAAAACCATGTGTATAAAAAAGTGTCAAGTTAATTTAAATGTATTTCTCGGGAGGGCCTGGGTGACTCAGTCGGTTAAGCACCTGACTCTTGGTTTCAACTCAGGTCATGATCTCAGGGTCATGAGATCGAGCCCCAGATCCTTGATCGGCACAGAGTCTGTTTGAGATTCTTTCCCCTTCCCACTCCCTTACCCTCTGGGCCTCCCCGCACTGGTGCACATGCATCCTCTCTCTCTCTCTCAAATAAATAAGATCTTAAAAAAAAATAAATGTATTTTAAATGTAACTATCTTTTCATGGAAAAGTAATTTACAATGTCAGTGACATCAAGTACCTTGAAAAGTACGGTGTTGATCTTGCTGAGCGATATTAAAAAATGGAGATGACCTGGGTTTTCCATTAAGCAGTAAGGTATGGAATTATCGACTGGTTGGCATTACTCTTTCCAGAGTTAGTTGCCACTAAGTAATCAGTCTGTAGTCTCTATGAACAGAAAAAAATATCATTAGAAGATTTTTGCATATTTAAAAAATCATTATTGTTAAAAATGTTGTAGGAGTCTTTAAAATAATTTTTAAATTACTTTTTTGCTACCATCCTTGCATAATTGTTTAAATTTACCCTACTATGGGTGAAATCATGTTGTAATTATGTATTTTTCTTTCTTCAGCTAATAGTCTACATTTTTCAGATACAATGTATTGGCGTACATCTCTTGGCTGTATAAAATGTCTTCAGAGAGTTGCACCATAATTTCCTTTCCTATTTACACATTGTTAGGTTTTTCTTTGGTAACAGTTTTAAACCTGCAAGCAGCCATGCCGTGAACATCTTCACATATATAACATGCTCCTAGGAAAAGGCCACCGCAGAATAAAAACATGAAGCTACAAGGGCCTCCAAACTCCCACAGCTGGGCTAGGTCGGGTTTCACAGCCTGTCTCCAGGGTTGGTACACGCACCCACTCTCCTAAGGTCATCTTCATGACACACTTTTGAGACTGTCCAGACAGGGATGGGGATGGATCCGTGTTGTAGGTGAGGAAACTGAGGCCTGGGTAAATGTCTTGCCCAAAGTCACAAAGACAGTCAGCGGCGACTAAGGTTTGACTTCAGAACTCCTAATATTTCCAGTATTTTTCCATTCGCATTTAACAGACGTTAACTGTGCTTACTGGTCTACGCTGTTTTGGTATACAGACATTCCTTCTGCTTGAGAATGCCATACCTACAAATACCAATACTGCCTTTAAAGGGCAATAATAAAAAAAAAAAAATCCCCAGTTTCACATCCTGTTTCATATCCCTGAGGCAATAGAGGAGAAAAACCAGACTTGCCTGGTCTTTGAGAACAGAGGAAGTTCTCTGGGTCATGAGAAGTGATTGATGAATTATCTGCCAGTTGTACAAACTTAGTTTGCCTCGCAAGGGCCTTATTTCCAAAGAAGTCCTGATCAGCTCCCAGAAGAGTTTGCTGGATGCCAGACACCGACTGCTGCCGCTCCCAGTTCCAGAACATTCGGAAACTCGAGATTTCCATATGGACTATGAAGCCAAGGCCCAGCTATTTAATTGGCTACTAGGTCACACGCAGGCCTTTTGGGCTCCAAAAGTCCGTGACTTGTCTGCCCTTATTGTTTGTGTCTCCCACTAAGCCTAACACCAGGGCCTTCTTCCTTAAAGGAGCTTGGTCAAGGATTGTTGGCTTGAGTTGAATAGTTTTTTGGGAAAGAGAAGGTCATTGTTGTTTGCTTTTACTTGAAATATAAAGGATTAAGACAAAAACATCACACATAATCTCACAGAGTCTACTGTTAATTTTTTGTGTGTTTCCTCATCAATATCACATTATGTAAGTGGTTTATATATTCTACTTTTCACTTAATATCAAATTATAAAAAACATCAATAAAAAGTCTTTATGAATTGAATTTATTTAGATTTTCCATTCCACAAAGATATCTTTATGTATATAACCATCTGGTCATGGTTTCCACTTTTTTCTCAATTAAAAATCATTTTACATGTTGTGCACCTTAAATTTATGCAGTGTGATGTGTCAGATATGTTTCAATATTTTAAAATAATAAACAAAAAACCCATTTAAAATGTAATTCTTTGACCTAACTTCTGAGAATTTCCTAGGTTAGTTCCCTAGAGACAGGATTACTGAGACAAAGAGTGTGAACATTTTGAAAACTTGACATGTCTGTACATGTCGCCAAACTGCCTTCCAGAAAGGTTCTGCCTCTGTACATAGCCAACAGAAAGAATGCTGTTATTTTAATGCTAGAAGGAAATGCTGTTCTTTTTTTTTTTTCTTTCAGAGATGGGATGCAAGGAGGATTTTCGAGGAGGCTGAGAAATTCTTTGTATCTGTTGGCCTTCCCAACATGACTGAAGGGTTCTGGCAAAACTCCATGCTAACGGAGCCAGGCGACAACCGGAAAGTGGTCTGCCACCCCACAGCTTGGGACCTAGGGAAGCGTGACTTCAGGTAGTGAGGGTGACCCTTACACAGCTGATACTAAACTGGGAGACAGTGGAGGCAAGGACGAGGATGGATTTGGATTTCTTCTCTGTTTCTCTGACCACAGAAGAGATGTGTGAACTCTCCTTAAACGAGGGCTCAGGAGTCCATGAGAGCACATCTGAGCTTTTCCAAGAAAAGGGGATTGTCAACAGGCCCTAACTTGAACTTTAGACAGTCTGCCTTATTTGAAACAATATGCACCCGTTAGATTGATCTGGTCACGGGAAGGGTGGTGTCCCCGTGAGAAAGATTTGGTGCTAAAATTTATGGAAGATGGGTGTGTGAATCAGGCTTCATTCCTCTCCTCCATGTTTCCCTCTTGTGAATGAGACAGGACAGGTGAATAAGTAAGCTGGGATAAAAGAGAGAAAGTGGTACATGTTAGAAGAGAACCACAGAGAACACTCTATAGGAAACTGGAAGAGAACGGACTACACTCGGAATAGGATGTAGGCTCAGACAGGGCTTTTCAGGTGACATTTGAATTAGGCTGGAAAGACGAGAAGGGTTTGGATAGACAGAGCTGGGATGAGGTCACTGGGCTGGGAGAAAAGCAGGATCCAATGCAGAGAGGCAGGACCTGGTACTGTGTACCAGAACCAGCAAGTTGGGCTAGAATAAAGGCCATGTGAAGAAGGGTCTGTGAAATGGCAGAATGAGCACAGACTTTTGAATCCCAGGGATGTCATTTAATGACTAGGCAGCCGGGACAAGGTATTTAACCTTCTAGGGTTTCATTTTCCTTATCTACAAAGGGGAGTGGTAATTCCCAGGTAGCAGGTTTGTGAGTGTCTTAGGTTGGGTTCCCCAGCTTGAGGAGAAGATTCTGGTATAAACGCTTCATTGAGGGACAGACATCAGGCAAAAAGGGAGTGAGGGAAGCAGGGTGGACGGGGAAAGAGTTAAGTAAGGATGTGGCCTCTGCTGGAGACTTGGCCTCAGCCTGATCAACGGGGCTCTCTGGACCCCAGTTTGCACCATAGTTGGTCACACCTTGAGAAAAGAGGACTGGTCTTTTGTACCCCGACATTAGTCAGTCACTAGCGTGGGAGGATGTAATCTCCTGGTTGAGGCACCTCTCACTTAGCCAAAGGCAGGGCACAAGGAAGAAGCTGTTGGCTTTTAACCTCTATGACTCAGTCAGAATGGGGCATGTAGGGATCTGCTTGGGAGAGCTGGCCTGGGTAGGCCCCCAGCAGCGCCCACTAGAGTAGGGCTTGACGGTCCTGTTCTGGAAAGGGTCAGATAGTAAATAGTTCAGGCTTTGCAGGTCTCTGCTGCAACAACTCAGTTCTGCCCTTGTGGCATCAAAGCAGCCACGGACCGTACGTAAATAAATGTTCCGAGAGAGCCTTATTTATCAAAACACTTCGCTGACACCAGTACAGTGAGGCTGAAAATTGAGGGAGTTAATGTAAGTTTCCTAGCCCAGGATATTGGGTACTGTAGACACTGAACACACAGCAGCCCTTCCTGGAATTGTTTCAAAAAAGAATGGAGAAAAACCGGCTTAGAAAAGCAGGTCTTACTGGGCTGTATTAAGGAGGCTGAGTTTCTTCTTGAGCACTGGGGGACACTTACAGGGTATTTATCAGGGGGATGGCATGGTCAGAGGGGTAGGAAAATTAATTTGGGAACCTACTGAAATACACCGGCTGCATTCACTGGAATGGAACTGCTCTGGCCAAGTTGAACAGGACCATAGTCTCATTGCCAAATGCAGTCCTATCGCATTGGGCCACTGCAGTCTTAGACAGTGTTTACAGGTTTTCTTCGAAATGCCATTTTTTTTCATTGGCTTCTGCATTGTCGTGCTCTTCTGGACTTCTTTTTTTTTTTTAATTTTTTTTAAATTTCTTTTCAGCGTAACAGTATTCATTGTTTTTGCACCACACCCAGTGCTCCATGCAATCCGTGCCCTCTCTAATACCCACCACCTGGTTCCCCCAACCTCACAACCCCCCGCCCCTTCAAAACCCTCAGATTGTTTTTCAGAGTCCATAGTCTCTCATGGTTCACCTCCCCTTCCAATTTCCCTCAACTCCCTTCTCCTCTCCATCTCCCCTTGTCCTCCATGTTATTTGTTATGCTCCACAAATAAGTGAAACGATGATAATTGACTCTCTCTGCTTGACTTATTTCACTCGGCATAATCTCTGCTGGACTTCTTTGACCTCTCTCTTTCTCTCTCTCTCTTTCTCTCTCTCCCTCTCCATCTTCTCTGAATCATCTTTCTCCACTCCATCTGTACTGGGACCTCTTAGGGCTCTGTTTTTGGCCCTCTTTCCTTGCCATTCTTTACCTGCTTCATGGGCCATCACATCTACTCCCTGAATTACATGCTAATGACTCCCACATATCAAGCCCCTTCTCCTCCTACTTCTCTTATCTTGGCTCTACCAAATTGCCTGCAGTGTCCTGAATGCTACACCCTTTTCTCAAGCCTTTCTCATGGAGCACTTCCAGGAATGTCAACGTCTTGCCCCTCCCTGCCATCTACTTGGCAAACTTCTACATGTTGATCAAGGTCTGGGTTGCCCGGACCGTTGCATTCTCAGGTATGCCCTTCTCTGTGCTTCTAGGAGACTGTGCCTACATTCACTTACTGTTTAAGCCCAAGGCCCTGTCTACTGATCACTGACAGAGTACTTGCCCGAGGGTTTTTCTAGTAGAAGAATCTGTTTATCTTTCTATTAGTTTGTGAACAATAGGATTCAGCCCCGCCCATCACTTTATTTTGAGTACCTTGTACTGTTTCTAGGACATAAAAGGTAAGTCCTCAAGACTCATCCGGGATCAGATCTTGGAATGATGATCTGTGCTACCAAAATCCTATACTGCACTTACTGTGATGATTAAATTAAATTCATTGAGATTCGTTTTCCATCTTGCCTGTTTTTGTGCAGGATCAAGATGTGCACAAAGGTGACGATGGATGACTTCCTGACAGCTCATCACGAGATGGGACACATCCAGTATGACATGGCATATGCCGCACAACCCTTCCTGCTGAGAAATGGAGCTAATGAAGGGTTCCATGAAGCTGTGGGGGAAATCATGTCACTTTCTGCAGCTACACCCAACCATTTGAAAAACATTGGTCTTCTGCCACCTGATTTTTCTGAAGACAGTGGTATGGACATTTTTCTTCATGGCTTGTTTTGGGGAGTCTTAGTTGGTTGTGGGCAAAAGCATTTATTATCATGTGTGGGATATCTTTAATTTTTGCCACATAAAGCATGTGGTATTTATGGGTAACTGGGAACTGCTGCTGGTAAAAAATATTTTTTAAAGATTATATCACAACAGGGGGCACCTGGGTGGCTCAGTTAGTTAAGTGTCTGCCTTCAGCTTGAGTCGAGATCCCAGGGTCTGGGATCGAACCCTACATCGGGCTCTCTGCTCAGCAGGGAGCCTGTCTCCATGCTTGTGCTTGGCCGGCCTGCTTGCTTGTTTTCTTTCTTTCTTTCTTTCTTTCTTTCTTTCTTTCTTTCTTTCTTT